TTGCACTCAGCTGTTCCCTGTAATCATTGTTCCCAGCTGTTCTGTGTTAGTCTTGTTAGTTCTGTGTATATATTCCCTGTCTGTGTTAGTTTGTGTACGGATTCGTTGCTGAATGTCACTAACACTTCCGAGGTCTGGTTTCTTGCCTGTTCTTGTTTTTTTTCTTGTTTATTTAATTATTGGACTGCTAAAATGGATTTTGACCCCTGCATGGATGACTATGAGTTGGATTGCCCTGATAATAAATATGCTACATTTGGATCCACCTGTTTCCCTGTGTGTTGCTGTGACACACAGATCCTGGCCATTTTACTTTCAAACTGATTTGTGATATGGAACATGGTCACACACCATCTAAGAGATTTTACTCAGTCAACTGCCTTTTAAAAATATTGATATAATATTACTAATCTGGAATATTAAAAAATTGTAATAGTAACTTGGCTGCACATTTATATTGTAAGCCCCCTTTCTGCTCACAAAATCCCTTCATTGAGGCCTTGATGGGAACACATGTGCAGTCTACAGTCTATGGCACCAATCACGTAAGTTAAGCCTGAGGGACTTTAAGTCATAATCGCCATGGTCGTCATGATTGTATTATCTTCATTAAAAATTATAATATACCCTAAGTTGGCAAAAAAAAAAAAAACTAAGAGCGCTAGGTAAACTTTGCGAATGGCACGACAGACAGCTTATCAAGTTCCCGCATCTCCAATAGTGTAAAGGAAGCCACTCGCAAAGAATTTTAGGGCAAGGCAAACATTTTGTGTTGTCGTTGAAGCCTGACATCGAATCGAACATTAATGTGCATTTCCAACAAAATAATAATGTATAAAACAACACCCTCACGAGTCACGACGATCGTTTCACGAGAAAAAAAAATTAGGCTACACTAAAAATTAGAAATTAGGCTACACTATCGCGCTGCGCTAAAGGACTTCTCGTATCAGCCGCAATCTAATCCTGCTAACATGAAATAAGCCTGCTCGCGAGCAGGTTCAAGCTGACGGACCTGTTGCTATATGACAGCAAGTCAAGGATGAGCGTCGAAGAACCAAACAATCCAAGATCATGACAAATTACCAACAATCAAATCCAGCTAACTGAGTTAGCGGCGTACGAATAACGGGCCCCAGATTAGCTGTGGAGCGTATTTTACTATGGTGATGAACACTGCTATGGCACTCACCTACTGCACTTTCATGGTGTCTAAAACCCAGGGCTGGCGCAAACTAAACTGTAAATACCTGACTAGCCACTTAAACCGAGTTCATGGTATAGGCCCCTGGTTAGCCGTGGAGCGTAAGTTACTATATGGCGATGAACACTGCTAAAAGCCAAACCACTTTCATGGTGCCTAAAACCCAGGGTTGGCACAAACTAAACTGAAATATACCTGGGGTGCGTTTCCCGAAAGCATCGTTAGCCAACTATGGTCGCAAGTTGGTCACAATTGCCATTGAACTTTTTTGGTAACGACGGAACTTGTGACCATAGTTTGCTAACGATGCTTTTGGGAAACGCACCCCTGGCTAGCCACCTAAGCCGGCTTCATGGTATAGGCCCCAGGTGTGTTAACATTGAACATACTCTGTGTTGGATGAACTTTCTCCTGGACGCATTTTTGGAACCAGCATACTTTGAGTAAGCAAGGTTTGGGTCAACCGAGAGTTCAGGGTATATGTGAGTGTAATGCCCCGTTTTTACGCAAAAGGAAGATGCAGATATTTTCCTGCGGTTTGGCCTCTTATTTACACAAAACACCCTTTTTTTCCACAGAAAACGATTATTTCTAAAAACTCCGTCCAAAGTGGAGATTTCTGATAACGCCGATTATGTGTTGCCATGTCAACTGGGAGAAATTGGGTTTTAGGTTCTCAAACATCACATGTGCCAGAAAATACTTAGTTCACCCAAAAATGAAAATTAAGTCATTAATTACTCACCCCCATGCTGTACCAACCCCGTAAGACCTTCGTTCGTCTTCGGAACACAAATGAAGATATTTTTGATTAAATTTGAGAGCTGTATAACTACCACATTGGCTCCTAAAGGACTGCCTCTTGACGGCCCAGAAAGTCAATGAAGAAAATGTTTAAATATCCCAAGTGACTACCGTGGCTCAACTATATGTTTATCAAGCGACGCGAATACTTTTTGTGCGAAAAAACAAACAAAAATAACGAGTTTATTTCTTTTCTTCCTTGTAGGCCAGAACGAGACTTCCTTAGATTTCCACGACGCATGCGCGAGAATTGCGATCTGAAGTAGTGTAAGCTGGTGTGAGCAGATCGCAAATCTCGCGCATGCGTCGTGGAAATCTAAGGAAGTCTCGTTCTGGCCTACAAGGAAGAAAAGAAATAGTCGAATAAACTCGTTATTTTTGTTTGTTTTTTCGCACAAAAAGTATTCGCGTCGCTTGATAAACATATAGTTGAGCCACGGTAGTCACTTGGGATATTTAAACATTTTCTTCATTGACTTTCTGGGCCGTCAAGAGGCAGTCCTTTAGGAGCCAATGTGGTAGTTATACAGCTCTCAAATTTAATCAAAAATATCTTCATTTGTGTTCCGAAGACGAACGAAGGTCTTACGGGGTTGGTACAGCATGGGGGTGAGTAATTAATGACTTAATTTTCATTTTTGGGTGAACTAACCCTTTAAGGGGTTAAAGCTTTTGTATGTAACTTCTGCTAACTCAAGATCAACAAGTGTTCCTTATCTTTTATCTCTTATGCAACCCATGAAGCATAACCTCACTAGCTGTTCTTAGCGATCACTCAAGGACGTGTCTGTTTGGGGATGTCGAGCATTGGTGGTTCAGTGGTAGAATTCTCGCCTGCCACGCGGGAGACCTGGGTCCGATTCCCGGCCAATGCAGAAAGTTAGTTCAGAAGTCCCAGCGGGCTGGTTCTTTAAAGCTTTTGAATGTAACTTCTGCTAACTCAAGATCAACAAGTGTTCCTAATCTTCCATCTCTTATGCAACCAATAAAGCATAACCTCCCTACCTGTTCTTAGCGATCACTCAAGGACGTGTCTGTTTGACGTTGTCGAGCATTGGTGGTTCAGTGGTAGAATTCTCGCCTGCCACGCGGGAGACCCGGGTCCGATTCCCGGCCAATGCAGAAAGTTAGTTCAGAAGTCCCAGCGGGCTGGTTCTTTAAAGCTTTGTTATGTAACTTCTGCTAACTCAAGATCAACAAGTGTTCCTTATCTTTTATCTCTTATGCAACCCATGAAGCATAACCTCACTAGCTGTTCTTAGTGATCACTCAAGGACGTGTCTGCTTGGGGTTGTCGAGCATTGGTGGTTCAGTGGTAGAATTCTCGCCTGCCACGCGGGAGACCTGGGTCCGATTCCCGGCTAATGCAGAAAGTTAGTTCAGAAGTCCCAGCGGGCTGGTTCTTTAAAGCTTTGTTATGTAACTTCTGCTAACTCAAGATCAACAAGTGTTCCTAATCTTCCATCTCTTATGCAACCAATAAAGCAAAACCTCCCTACCTGTTCTTAGCGATCACTCAAGGACGTGTCTGTTTGGGGTTGTCGAGCATTGTTGGTTCAGTGGTAGAATTCTCGCCTGCCACGCGGGAGACCCGGGTCCGATTCCCGGCCAATGCAAAAAGACAATTTTGAAGTCCCAGCGGGCTGGTTCTTTAAAGCTTTTGTATGTAACTTCTGCTAACTCAAGATCAACAAGTGTTCCTAATCTTCCATCTCTTATGCAACCAATAAAGCATAACCTCCCTACCTGTTCTTAGCGATCACTCAAGGACGTGTCTGTTTAAGGTTGTCGAGCATTGGTGGTTCAGTGGTAGAATTCTTGCCTGCCACGCGGGAGACCCGGGTCCGATTCCCGGCCAATTAAGAAGTCCCAGCGGGCTGGTTCTTTAAAGCTTTTGTATGTAACTTCTGCTAGCTCAAGATCAACAAGTGTTCCTTATCTTTCATCTCTTATGCAACCCATGAAGCATAACCTCCCTACCTGTTCTTAGCGATCACTCAAGGACGTGTCTGTTTGAGGTTGTCGAGCATTGGTGGTTCAGTGGTAGAATTCTCGCCTGCCACGCGGGAGACCCGGGGCCGATTCCCGGCCAATGCAGAAAGTTAGTTCAGGTTCTACCACTGAATTTTCGCCTGCCATGCGGGAGACCCGGGTCCGATTCCCGGCTAATGCAGAAAGTTAGTTCAGAAGTCCCAGCAGTCTGGTTCTTTAAAGCTTTGCTATGTAACTTCTGCTAACTCAAGAACAACAAGTGTTCCTTATCTTTTATCTCTTATGCAACCCATGAAGCATAACCTCACTAGCTGTTCTTAGCGATCACTCAAGGACGTGTCTGTTTGGGGTTGTCGAGCATTGGTGGTTCAGTGGTAGAATTCTCACCTGCCACGCGGGAGACCCGAGTCCGATTCCCGGCCAATGCAGAAAGTTAGTTCAGAAGTCCCAGCGGGCTGGTTCTTTAAAGCTTTTGTATGTAACTTCTGCTAACTCAAGAACAACAAGTGTTCCTTATTTTTTATCTTTTATGCAACCCATGAAGTGTAACCTCACTAGCTGTTCTTAGCGATCACTCAAGGTGGTTCAGTGGTAGAATTCTCGCTTCCCAAGCGGGAGACCTGGGTCCGATTCCCGGCCAATGCAGAAAGTTAGTTCAGAAGTCCCAGCGGGCTGGTTCTTTAATGTCATGTGAGCGCCAGTTTGTGTTTACAGTTTGTTTGGCTTCCACGTGTTATTCGTTGTTGTCGATTCTGTGGATTCTGCATATTTGCCATATTTGATTCTAGCATATTTGTTTCTCTAAATACCTGGCTATGTGTAAATGTGATTAAGCTAACCTGGCTTTCTGGAATACTACACCCCTGGATCCAGGATGTACTCTTGTTGGTGTGTACCATCCTTTTAATGAAACAAGTCTGGAAAATCATTAAACTTGACAAAAGGGGTGGAGTCTCTTTCATTTCCTGCTCTTGAAAAAGGGACAGCACAAGACTTACAGGTATTCTGGATGTTTCAGAGTCTTTCAGCAATGGGGCTGGTAGTTGTCAGTTGTGTAGGACTGTTGCTGCTTGTTGCAGTTGGCTCGTCTTTGGCACAGTGGTCAGGGTTTCAACAAAGCCAGGATCCATTAAGATTACTACTACAACAACAATCACCAGTTTTAGCTTCTCAGCAAGCTCTCCAAGAGTCACAGCTACCAACTTCTCTGAGACCTGACACACACCCTGGTGGGGCAAATCAATGGAAGCTTCAAGATCCTGGAAGTAGTCAGTCTAAACAGCTAATGGAGGCTCCTTTGGTACCTTTGACCTGGCATTTTCCTGTAGTGCCTGAAGAACCCCAACAACCAGATGTGCCTTTTGAGCTGCGTGTACCCGTAGCCGCTGAGAGTATTGCAGCACAATGTGGGGAGAGCTTTGTGCATGTGGAAGTTAAGAAGGACTTCTTCGGCACTGGTCAGTTGGTGAATCCTTCATTCCTCACTTTGGGAGGTTGTGCAGCTGTAGGGGAAGATCCAACAACTCAAGTCCTTATCTTTGAGTATGAGCTCCAGGCATGCAGCAGCTCTCTGATGGTGAGTGGCTGCTTGTGAGTCTTGTTAACTTTAATAATCAAGGGTAAAAGCTGTGTTACTACATAGACTGATTCTCGATTTGTTTTCAGATGACTGATGATGAGCTGGTGTATAAATTCACCCTCTTCTACACACCTGAGGCTTTAGTAGGAACTCCCATTGTAAGAACTGATGCAGCGGCTGTTGGTATTGAGTGCCACTATTCAAGGTAATAAAGGTGTTTGTTTTTTAAATAAAGTAAGCAGTTTGGCTTAATGAACCATGTTTTATTGCCCTGTTTAGGCTGCACAATGTTAGCAGTAATGTTCTGATGCCCAATTGGGTTCCTTTTGCTGCTACAAAGGTTGCAGAGGAAGTTCTGGTGTTTTCCTTAAAGCTCATGACTGGTAAGTTTTATACACCCTTTCTAAAATTGACTCTTAAATGACACTGATTTTCATTCAATTTCTATGACCCTTTCAGATGATTGGATGTTTGAGAGGCCGTCCAATCAGTTCTTCTTGGGACAATTTCTGACTTTTGAAGCTTCTGTGAAGCAGTTCAACCACGTTCCTCTGCGACTCTTTGTAGATGGTTGTGTTGCTACCGCAGTCCCTGATGTGAATGCTTCTCCAAGTTATTCCTTTATTGAGAACCATGGGTAGGTAAAGATTGGCTTGAATTCTCAAATGTGACCAGAGCCTAAACGTTTTCTTTTGGTTCAGGTGCCTGGTTGATGCAAAGATTACAGGATCTACTTCTGGTTTTATGCACCGAGTTCAGAATGACAAACTACACTTTCGCTTGGAGTCTTTCAGATTCCAGCAAACGAATAGTGGTTTGGTATGTAATGGTGCTGTCTTCCTGCAAGAGATGAATGTTCGTCCAATATATACAAATGTAAAATCTTTTTGTAGGTATATGTCACATGTTCTTTGAGGGCAGTTATGGCTTCAACCCCCATAAGTGCAGAGAACAAGGCTTGTTCCTTTGCCAATGGGTATGTCCTAACAAAATTAATCCTGACTGGATGAGATGTGATCAGAATGGTTAACGTTTCTTTGCCCCTTTTATAGATGGTTTTCTGCAGATGACAATGACCAGATGTGCACGTGCTGTGACTCCACATGTGGCTTCAGCAGGAAAGGGCGAGCACTTCCTGATTCAGGTAAAGCTTTCAACTAGGATCTGTAAAGAGGGCTAACATGAATGCCTTGTAACTTTTTATATTTTTTCTGTCTAAGGCCTTGTTTCAGAAGGGAAAGCAACAGTTGGCCCCATTGTAGTCACCGAACCTCAATTGCAAGTGTCTAATAAAGAGCTGGAATGAACACTCTGGCATGTCTTGTGTCTTTTATAGAGGATCGTGTTTCTTGCATGTTTATGACTGATCTTGTACTGGTATGTAGGGACGTGAATGTTTTGGCCTGAAGTTCAATTTACTGAAACTGGAATTGTTCCTTTTGCTGCCATGATTTCTTTCTTGCATGACCAAGAAGACAAAACAGTTCAGTTAAACTGGTTTTGCTAAATTTGTATGCACGTTTGAATGTGTGCGCACACACATAGTCCTTCCCTAAATAAAAGAACCTCAACAAACTACTTGTTGGGCCTTAATTTTTTTAATACAGAATTATATTGCTTCGGCATAGCCATGTGAACAGGAATTACCTTGACATTTACTGGTGTGACTACTGTTGCTACAGTAGGTGATTCTTCACCTGAAATGGCAAGATGACTGGTTCACATGTACCTTGTGCCAACACAGGGCCAGGTCACAGTGCATATTGGCATTATAATATCATATGAGGGTCTGTGAATAGCAATTAAAGAGACCTCTCACCATTTCTCCGATGTAGTGATGTCGCTTAGCTGGATTTGTTTGTTGGTGATTTGGCATGATCTTGGATTCTGTTTGGTTCTTTGATGCTCATCTGGGACTTGCTGTCATGGCAATAGGTGCTCAAGCTTGAACCTGCTCACGAGCAGGCTTATTTCTTGTTAACAGGATTACATCATGGCTTTATAAGCAGACCTGATACGGGAAGTCTTTTAGCTCAGTGCGCTAGTGTGGGATACTTCCTGAGATATATATATATATTTTTTTTTTTTTTCTTGTGAAATGATCGTGAGGGTGTCGTTTACACGTTATTAGGCTATATTGTTGGGAACACGCATTCATGTTCGACTCGTCAGAGTTGGGCTTTAACAGCAAAAAATGTTTTCATTGCCCTACAATTCTTTGCGAGTGGATCTTTCCTTTACAAATGTTTTTTTTTTTTTCAATGCAGGTATAGGCTATTATAATTTTTAATGAAGATCATGCAATCATGAACATGCCGATTTTGACTTGCAATATGTCCCCCCAGGCTTCGCTAATGGGATCGGTGACGTGGACAGACCATATATGTTGATACATGATGATATTATCTTGGATGCCTCGTTTGATCTCGGATGTTTTAAGCAATGTACAGAGAACGGCCCCGGGATCTAGGTAGTACAGCACAAATATGTTCCCATCAATGCCTCAGTGAAGGGAATTTTGTGAACAGAAAGGGGATCACAATGTAAATGTGCAGCCAAGTTACTATTACGATTCTTAATATTCAAGATTAGTAATACTATATCAAATAAAAAAAAGGCATTTGACTGAGTAAAATCGCTCAAGGTGGGCGTACACGGTGCGATTTTTGCTGTTTTACGAGCTCGCAGATGATTTTTTTCACTCGGGAGAAATCGCGTGTAAATCGGTTATGCTCGTATGTCACGGTTCGTATCGTGTGCGAGGAAGATACAAGCCGAGCACCTCTCAACCTCCCGATAATTTTTAAGCATTTCTAAAAATTTCGGGAGCTGTCGACTTGCATTCGTGAGATGTGTGCGGTTGAATCAGCTGATTTGAATTTGCCGACATACGATCTTCTGACCATCAGAATTCGTAACATGTACGCCCGCCTTTAGATGGTGAGTTCCATATTTTATACGGGATTTTAGACCTAATGATTTGAGTTTGTAAACGGGTAAGCAGTTTTCTTCCTTGTCAATAGATGGACTTCTGTAGATGACAATTACCAGGTGTGTATGTGCTGTGATTCCACATGTGGTTCCAGCAGAAAAGGACTAGCACTCCCTGATTCAGGTAATGTATGAAGTCTTGGTATTGCTCTTGCAGAAGAATTTTCAGTTTCTCATTTAGCCTTTGTTTTTTAGGCCTGGTATCAGAAGGGAAAGCAACCATTGGCCCCATTGTGATTGCTAATTGATGTATTGTGAATGGTGAGAACTGCCAATAAAAGTTTTTATGTATTAGGGAGTTTGCTTGTCTTTGTGTTTTCTGATGACTTCAAGGCATTTTGACCCATAAGTTGCCTTTAGTAATTTCAGTGTCCCAAGTCCGGGAATGAAACATTTTTCACTGAGTATTAACTGTGTGCGCTTGCTTTCAGTTGTGTGCTTAAGTCAAAAGCCTACGCAGGCCCTACCTTTTACATAATGTTTGGGATCAAGACCCAACCATGCACTGCACATTGCACAAGATTGATCAGTTTTAATTTCATTTAATCAGTGGTTAATTTCATCACAAGTGATGTATTCTGTGCAGAAAATGAATTCCTTGTATCAAGTGAGCAGTATGGTGTATGTTAATGTGTAAATCAGACCTATAGACTTTGGTTCATTTCTGTAGATACAAAATTGCCAGCTTAAATGACCTCACAACAGGCCTATATGCTTTTTGTAATGGCAAAAGTTTTTTTTTTTGTTGCAACAATTGTCACGGGTGACAAAATCGCTCAGTAAACGGAACCTTCTTGAGAGTCCTGAGTTTCCTAGGGGAATGTATTGGGTGCAACACTTCACTACGGTTCCGGGTGTGATGGAAACATGCCCGTACTGATTAGCGCTAATGCACTGCAGGTGCGGGAGAGAGAGCACTACGGCACTCACACAGGTTTCCTGTTCGACGAGTCAAGATAAAAGCAGGGGGAAGACACAGACAGGGGGAACAGGAGAGACGCCCGGTGAAGAGCAAGGGGGGGGCGCTCGGCGCACGCTGGACTGTGCGTTTTGGGAAAGGGGAGTTTTGAAGTGCTCGTGCTGGATACAAGCTTTCTATGGAAAATTGCTGGGGTGTGGAGATCGCCCATTTGAGTTTGCTGGATCAGAGTGATCCTCTGTGGGAAGACTGCTGGACTGAGCTATTGACTGGATCTGTGCTGTGGAAGGAGAGAGAAAAGAAGATAAGTGAAGTGATTTTCTTCTGATGAACATTTTAACCGCTTGAAGAGGATACAGTGAATGTGGATCTGACTGTTGGAGGAGCTATGTGTTTCAGAGTATGTGTTTCAAAGCCAGTGCAACAAACTGAGTGAGGCCTCTGATCAGCCCTATCGTGTGAGTGAATTGCAGTGCTTTTGCCTTATTGATACACAAGGACTTATGGCTGTGGAATAGAAGTGAACACAAGTGTGATGTGTCTTTGTTGAGAAGTGGCCCCAATCCATGCCTGCATGTTTGTGGAAAGTTATTAAAAAAACTGCTCTCCATCAGAAGCCTAGAGTGATACAGGATCCTTACCTGTTCTATTTTACTGTGAACTGAAACATGCAGCACTGCTGATGAAGTAGCCTTTTAACCCACTGTCTCCCTACTGTGAAGTGAAACATGCAGCACTGCTGATGAAGTAACCTTTTAACCCATTGTCTTGCTACTATGCACTGAAGATCGTACTTTGTACCATGAAGGAGAAGCAGGCAGCATTCCTGGTGAAGTAGTCTTTTAACCCATCGTCTTCCTGCTGTGAACCGAAGAGAGTACTGTGTACGGTGAGGGTTCCCACTTGCTATACTTACTGCTCGAGTTCTGGAAGTCTGAAACGGTTAAACTACTGTTCCATTACTGGCACCGACGAGAGTACGTGAGACTGTGGAGAAGAAGTATGCAGCATCTCCGGGGAAGTAACCTTTTAACCCATTGTCCTCCTGCTACGAACCGAAGAGAGTACTGTGTACGGTGAGGGTTCCCACCTGTTACACTTACTACTCAAGTCTGGAAGTTTGCAGCACCGCTGGGGAGAAGTAAGCTTTTAATCCACTGCTTCATTACCGTGCACTGATGAGAGTACCTTGTACTGTGAAGAATCCTTACCTGTGAAGAATCCTTACCTGTCATACTTACCGTCTGAGTCTGGAAGTTTGCAGCACCGCTGGGGAGAAGTAAGCTTTTAATCCACTGCTTCATTACTGTGCACTGACGAGAGTACTTTGTACTGTGAAGAATCCTTACCTGCCATACTTACTGTCTGCGTCTGGAAAGTTACAGCACCGCTGGTGAACGGAGTCCCGAAATCGCTGTCCGAGAGGCACAGTGGCGGTTGATCCACGCTGGACCGTGGCTGAAGGATATCTAGGGGAAAGTGGAGTCTATTCAACTGGCGCTCTTTGCTACATTGTTCAATAAAGATTGTTACTCCTTTGAAACTTGCCTCTGTCTCCGTGGTCCTCTGTTGTGTGCCTGTGGTGTCGGCTCCTCGCGGTGGTGACTCAGTTAGAGGGGGGGGGGTGGTTGGTCACCCGAGCGTTCCTCCCCTCGACCTGTGACACAATTCATGAGGGTCCCCTTACAAAAGTGTGCTATTTGTATACCGAAATTATAAGGGCATGCTTTCAATCTAGTAATATACTTATCAGACATGTAGTGAAAAATTACAGTTAAAGGGATATTTCAGCTCTAAAGATGAATTTGTATACAGTATAAAATGTCATTTATGTAGAAGGAATGTGAAATTATTTTTTAAATTGAGCTTTCTAGACTGAGAAAAGCCAGAAAATGTGTTTTTGGCTTATGGTCGGACGACACCACCATGGTAGGTCTCATATCTGACAATGATGAGACTCAATACAGAGAGGAGATACAGCACCTGATATATTGGTGTTCAACAAATAATGTTATTTTGAACACCAATAAGACCAAGGAGGTCATAGTGGTGTTCAGAAGGTCCAGGAAGACAAAGCACGCTCCTCTTTTTTACGGGGGATGAAGTGGAGCGTGTGGATAGTATAGGCTACGGGATTATCACGCTTCCGGGTTTCATGGGCGGGATTTGTCAACTATGTGCATGTCCACTTCCGACGCAGTTCAACAATGCCTGAGACGAATGCTATATATGTCACTGCTCTGTTCCACTTTGTAAATCTAACCAACAACACCAAACTTCCTTAAGTTTTCATGGATTCCTGACTGAATTGAGTATAAGGAAGAAGTGGATTAAAACTTTAAAATAAAACAAGGTTTGTTTGTTTGGAGCCGGCACTTTAGTGAATCAGACTAATTTACCAGGGATGCCGTATAAATAAACTTAGTGTAGTCCTTCATCAGTTGGCCAGCGTGATCGGTGATTGAACGGAAGTGGCAGTGCACAAAGATCACAGAATCCAGAAGTACTACATATCAGCGTCATAATCCCCTATTAAGTTCCTGGGACTGGGAGTCCATATTTCAGCTGACCTGTCCTGATCGGTTAATCAACAAATGAACCATCACTGAACTTACTTAAGCTAGACTATGGCTTTTTTTCTTCTAGATCTGCTGTACAGCAGAAAGACACTTTGTTGCATTATTTTCCTGTAATCACTGTAAAGCTGCTTTGAAATAATTTGTATTGTAAAAAGTGCTATATAAATAAAGGTAACTTCACTTGACAATGGACTGAAAGCTCGCATTCAGATTTGTCAAATGACAATTGATGGATTGAAGCAAGATTCTGGCCTACATTTAAATAAATAAATAAATATATATTTTTTATTATTTTTAAATTTCCATTTATATGTACTTCACAATATGCAATAAAAGATGTCTCCACTTTTTATTACATCAAAATGTTACTAACTTTGACTGACAATACTACAAGAATTAAGTTGTTTCATTTTTTCAGCATCCTTATTTGTACAGCACAACCTTACTCGGACAGTGTGAGTCGGTAACCTTGCTGAAATTGCACAGTGTATGCCCGCCTTAAGCCTTGTCTGTGAAACCCGGAAAAACAATTTTTGTTCTGTGTTGGTTCACTGCTTGACGTCCAATGGACAATTTACAAAACAAGTGAGCCACTTGGATCTAGGTTGCACTCTTTTTGTGTGCGTAATGCTTTTAATAAAACAAGTCTGGGAAATCATTAAGCTTGACAAAAGGGGTGGAGACTCTTTAATTTCCTGCTCTAGAAAAAGGCACAGCAGAAGATCAACAAGTATTCTGGACATTTCAGAGTTTTTTTTAACAATGGGGCTTTTGGTTCTTAGTCTTTCTGGATTGTTGCTGCTAACAGCAATTGATTTGTGTTTTGGAAAGTGGTCAGTGTTTCAACAAGGCCAGGATCCAGTAAGATTTCAGCAGCAACAGCCACCAGTTTTAGTTTCTCAGCAAGCTGTCCAAGGCCCACAGGTATCAGCATATTTTAAGCCTCCAATGCCTGCAATGAATTCTGTTGAGGCTGATCCATGGAATCTTCTTCAAGAGCCTGGAAATATTCAGTCCAAACAACTAATGCAGGGTCCTGTTGCACCTTTGACGTGGCGTTTTCCAATAATGCCAGAAGAACCTCAACAGCCAGATGTGCCTTTTGAGCTGCGTGTACCTGTAGCTGCTGAGAGTATTGCAGCACAATGTGGGGAGAACCTTGTGCATGTGGAAGTTAAGAAGGACTTCTTCGGTACTGGTCATCTGGTGAATCCTTCATTCCTCACTTTGGGAGGCTGTGCGGTTGTAGGGGAGGATCCAGAAGCTAACGTCCTTATCTTTGAATATGAGCTCCAGACATGTGGCAGCTCTCTGACGGTAAGTGGCTGCTAATGGGTCAACCCTAGAAAGTGTAAAAGCCAGGTCTGTCCAGTAACCTGCTTCTTGTGCTTCTTTCAGATGACTAATGATGAGCTTGTTTACACCTTCACCCTCCTCTACACTCCAGAGGCTTTAGCAGGAACTCCCATTGTAAGGGCTGATGCAGCAGCTGTTGGAATTGAGTGTCATTATTCAAGGTAAAAACAAACTTGTCAAAGCCATTTTGTTAAATGCTACAATCTTCTTAATCTTGTTTTACTGCTTCCACTAGGTTGCAAAATGTAAGCAGCAATGTGCTGATGCCCAGCTGGGTTCCTTTTGCTGCTACACAAGTTGGAGAGGAAGTTCTGGTGTTTTCCTTGAAGCTCATGACTGGTAATATGCAGTGTTAGAATTTCAGATGTGGCTAGGGAATGTTGCTGACATGAGTTTCATTTCAGATGACTGGATGTTTGAGAGGCCATCCAATAAGTACT